GCGGGGGGCGGGTAGGGGGTGGAGACGTTTTGGTCCCCCCTCCTGAGCCCCCTCTTGTGGGAGGATCGCCTGCCCTCGGCAGACTGTGATGCCCGCAGCTGGGTCAGGGAGGGGCTGCAGGGGGGGCAGCTCCTGGGGTGCCGGCCCAGGTCCGCTCCTCTTCTGAGGCTGTTGCTGGCAGCCCGGGTTGCCGGGTCTGAGCTGGGGGTGTAGAGATAACCTGGTCGCCTCCGGCCCCCTCCGTGCGAGTTGCAGGGGCAGTGGGAAGGGGTGGGCGCAAGGGGACCCTCCCCGGCTGCCCACCCTGCCCCACTCGGCAGCTCCGTGGGACAGGCCTCTGCAGGGGTCTGCGAAGGGTCTTTCTCGGGGGTTGCAGGCGGACGACGGGACGAGCTTCCCCCGGAACGACGACCCCCATGCGCTGCGCCACATCCTTTTCATGCGCCCTCAACGCGCTGCAGCTTTGGTGCTTTCAGGTGCTGCGTGTTCAGCCCTTTGTCTTCGCTACTGTGCTTTAGGCTGCTGTGCACCTTTTGACGGCTGCTTAGTAAACAAACCGCGATGAACATGAATGAGAAACCGTGCCGTTCGCCAGGATCCGGGCCCTAACGTGCCGCTCACGCGCTCTCTTTCAGCCCGTCTCGGCCTCTTGCGAACATGAACGATGCCACGGTTACCCACACATCCTCGGGAGACCCCACCCCAACGAAAAGGTAGGAGGGTGCGCCCCTCGCGCTGCGGATGGCACAGGACGGGGCTCCTGCTCCGAGTGTGCTGGATATCGGATATGGCTGAAGCCAGTCGGGAGCCTCTCGGGGGGGGGGGCGGGACTGTCCTCCCCTCCCCAGCCAAGCAGCCGCCAACCAACCCACGAGGTGAGGGCTCAAGGTCAGCAGAGGTCTCACTGGGATTCCCCTCCCCAGTCTCCACCTACCTGGCAGGACAGGTGTTCCTTCCCCTCACCTGCAGGAGCTCCGAGCAGGATGCCGAGCAAGTGTGCCGCCCAGTGGGGGTGGGAGGCGCAGCCAGCAAGACCCTCTTCTCCATCACGGCCGGGGACTGCTTCTGGCCTCGCGGCTGTGCCGAGAAGAAGGCGCGGCCCGGCAGCGCTCTGGGGCGGCCAAGGAATATCTCTGTTTTGAAGGGAGCAGCAGGGAATGCTCGCTCGGCCGCTGACCGGAAGGGCTGCCCCCCAACCAGGCGGATCACAGCAAAGCAGGCGGGGGTGATGCACCCCCTCGGCATGTGGATGGCCCCGCTTCAATCCCTGGCTTCTGCCGGTCAGGGTCGACAAAACTGGTCTCGCTAGACCAGTGGACGGCCCCGGATCGCAAGAGCCACCTTCGGTGCCTCCCCATTTGTGGCCTCCGCTTTTCTCCCAGAGATTTCCATCTGTCATGCGCAAAAATGAATTTTTATTTTCCTTTTGCATTCCTTTTATTTATTACTTCCTCTTTGCTCTGCTTCATTCCCTTTTTGTTGAGAGTATGTTTGGAAAAGTATAGGAGCGTATTTCTGAGAAGACGTGCAGGGAAGGGTGGGAGTCACCCGCGCTTTACCTGCCTCGTGCTAACTGCCTGTGAGGCCGGGAGCCCCCTGGGCCGGGACTGAGCCGACCTGGGCACTGTTGGGGTGGGGAGAAACGGTGCAGGTGAGGCAAGACCCTCCTGGGAGGTGGGGAGGGGGCCTGCGCTGCAGCTGCCATGGCTCCCCTTCCCTCTGCCTGCGAGGAGGGGCCGTGCCAGCACCGCTCCCAGCAGTGCCGGCCGAACCACACCTGGAGCCATGCCCAGAACCGTGTGGCCCCTCAGCCCGGACGGCCCCCGAGTCCGAGCCAGGCGCTTTCTGTCTGGCATGTGTGCCTCTGAGCCCCCGCAGCCCAGGCCCCCCGAAAAAGCGCTGTGCTTCCCGGCATGCGTCGGCTCGGCCGGGCCCCGAAAGCAGCTCACATTGCGCCGCTGGAAGGCAGAGCTCGCAAGGCCGCTCGAGGATTAGGGCCCAGGTCCGGAAGGGGGTGCCTGTGGCCCTCGCGGGACAATCCGCTCCTCTGCTGGGCCTGCACCGCGGCTGACTGTTCCCAGCAGCTGCCAGGCCGCGTGCCCCTCGCTCGCTGGCTGGCCCCGCAGCGTGAGATTTGCCTGGCCGGCTGCCTGAGCCATGCGTCTCTCCCTCCGGGGCCTCTGCGCAGGTGCAGCGCATCTCGAGCCCGGCCCGTGGCTGCCCCTCGGGTGGAAAGCCAGACAGTCACAAGCTCGTGCGGTGGTGAAAGGGGTGCCATGTCCGTTGTGTAGTTGCACGTTTGCGCCCTGTGAGTGAGGCCGCTTCGCGTGGGGAAAGGCCTTGACGTCCTGGTGCAGCGCCTCACGTTCCACGGGAAGACAGGAAGGAGCTGGGACGAGGTGGGACGAGGTCGGTCGCGCTACGGGGCCATGCCGCATTCGCTCTGAGGCGCCACTGATTGGGAGCACGTGCTGCTGGTGAGATGTGGCGTGGCAGCGCTGGTGTGGAGAACCTCCGTGTCCATGCTCTGGGAGGGTGGCCTTTCGTAAAATCCAGGACTAGTCGAGCTGAAGGAGCCAGAAGGCCGCTGGGCCCAGCCTTCTGCGATTGCAGGGCGCCCGTTGATCCCATCCCGCTCGGATGGATGTCCAGCCTGGTTTTGAGTGTCTCCGGTGTGGGAGCGCCCTCCACCCCGCTGGCTCCACTCTCGTTTTGCATCCGGCTTAATTTAAAGGGAGCAAATACTAAGGAAAGTGTAGTTATTGGCGTCTGTTACCAAACACCCCATCAAAACGATGACAAGAAAGTAATCTTCAGGTGGCAACTTGCCATGTTTTCAAGAAGAATTGCGTGGTCATTATGGGAGACTTCAGTTTTCCTGGTCGATACTATAAGACAATTTCTGCCAAACATGCTCCCTCCAAGAAATTTCTGACACGCATTGCCGACAACTCCCTTCAGCACAACGTACATACAGGAGCGGACAAGAGGGTCAGCTGTCCTTGATTTAATACTGACCAACAGGGATAACCGTGGATGAAACAGCAGCCGTGGGAACCCGGCGGGGAAGTGACCGTGCGATGCCTGAATTCTCAAAGATAAAGGAGACGAAGGTGAACTGCAGCCAAACATGCACCCCGGACTTCAGGAAAGCCAGCTTTGAAGAACCCACGGCCCCTCACTCGTACGGGAAAGGGAGTCCGAGAGAGCTGGAAAAGGAAGATTCTGCAAGCACTGCTGCAAACAATTCCAACAAGAAAAAAGCAGAGGAGGCAGCCGAGGAAGCCCACGTGACGCCACGAAAAGGTGAGCGACAGCCTGAAAGGAAAAAAAGCAGATCTGCAGAGGTGGAAGCAGGGCCAGGCCACGAAGGGAGCAAAGAGCAAGGCACTGCAGGGAGGCTGGAGCGGGAAATGGACTAAGAACAGCGAGGGATGCTAAGAAAAGCAGGAAGGCCTTCTTCAGCACCATCCGGAACAAAGGACGTGAGGAAGAGGAGGGTGTCCAGCTACTCAGAGTGGGTGGCAGAGCGATAACAGGCGACAGGGAACAGGCAGAGGTGCTCAGTTCCCACGTCGCCTCAGTCTTCTCCCACAACCTCTTCTTCCACAAGAGGAAGTACAAGCTGAAGAAATACAAGCAGAGGAACCCTCAGAACCACTGCCTGTTGTCTGAGAAACCCTGGAAAGCAGAAGTGCCAGACGACGAGAAGGGTGAACATCGTCCCCATCTTCAAAAAGGGGGGAAAAGATGAACCTGGGAACTGCAGACCAGTTAGGCTGACATCAATCCCTAGAGAAATTCTGGAGCAAATTATTTTAAAATAAATCAGTCTGCAAGCACCTCGAAGACAATGCAGTGATTAATGGAAGCCAACGTCAGACTAATTTAACCTCCCAAGTGGACAGAGGGAAACTGCACGTGGTATACCTGGATTTAGCAAAGCGTTCGACACGGTGCCTCATGTCCTCCGGATCAGCGAGTTGACGAGATAGAAAAACTGCTGGGTGGATCCAAAATTGCTGCTAAATTGGACACCAAGAGGGCTCATCGGCAGCACCGTCTCCGACTGCAGGGAGGTGGCGAGTGGGGAGCCGCAGGGTTCAGTCCTGGGCCCAGGGCTCTCCAGCAACTTTATTACTGATTTGGATGAGGAAGTTCGGGGAAAGATAATCAGATTTGCAGACCGTACAAAACTGGGTGGGAGCATGAGCACAGAATGAAGAGCCAGGGTGGTCTTAATATCAGGCGGGGTGGGGGTCTTCAGTCCCCAGAGAAGCTCAGCGTTCCCCCTTAGGCCCACCAGCCTGCCTCCTGCTCTGGCAGTCAGCTGGAAGAGGAGGGTCCCCCGGACGACCACGCACGGGGACCTGCTCTGCTCTTCCTGACCAGCTTTGCTGCCCCCTTTTGAGCCCGTTTCGAGTGGTTCCCATCCTTCTCCGAGTACGCGGCCCAGAACTGGCCACGAGGCGCCAGAAATGCTTCTCCAAAACTGACGGGGAGGTGGGGTGAACCTGCATCAGCAGGGAGGTTTTGACAGCCACCCGCGTGGGGCGGTGCAAGCTGGTGACCTGCAGCAGGAGCGGGTTGCACCCGGTGGCCTTCCTGGCCCCTCCCGGCCTGACTATTCCGCGGTTCCGTGCAGAGCCGCCCAAGCTCGTGGCCGTCGGCACCGCCCAGGTGCAGCGTTCGGTCCATCTTGCATCCTGCTCCAGCTCTGAGCCAGTTTGGCCAGCAAGCCCAGTGGCTTTTACCTCCCAGGCTGGGTCAAACTGGGCGCATGGAATGTGTTTCCTCCAGGAGGCTGCTGCTTGATGCACTTCGGTGCAAGGGAGAAGCGTCAGTCAGTGGGGTGGAGGGGAAGGAAGGCTGCAGGGGCCGTCAGATCTAGCTCGGCTGTGCTCTCTCTTCCGGCAGAGGAGCAGCCCTCCAGCTCGTAAAATGGCGGAGACAGAATTGGGTCAGCGAAAGCATCTGCTTCGGAGCAAGAATGCTCTCCCAGCAAAGGGCCCTCTTGTCGGAGCCGCACCGGCTGAGCGCCGGCTCCCCAGCATTCGCGGAGGCTGAGCTGCCAAGCGAGTCGGAGGGGCCTCCCAGGGCATCTGGTCAGACCCCGGCTGGCCAGCTCCGCTCACGCGACCCCCAGCGTGCGGTCGTCTTTCCTGCCGTGTGCCAGTCCCTTCCACAGTCTTCGCCTTCTGGGTCGAGGAAACACGGACGCGCCGTGCCAAGCGCGCACTTCGGCACTCAGGTGGCGGCCTGAATCTCCGCCGCGTTGGGCAGGTTGCGGAGCCTCCTTTGCCGCTGCGGGTGGAGCACGGCTTTTGGCACGAGGCCGGCCGGCCGGCCACGCCACGCCACGCGCGCACTCCCGCAGCAGGCAGCCTCTCCCCACACGCGGTGCCGCACTGCTGGTTCCTCAGGCTCCTCCTGCCGAACGCTCCGCCTCCTTCACGCGGGGCCTCACGCGGCGGCGAATCTGCCCGCTCTTGGGACGCTTGGAGCTACGCGGCTCCGTAAAGCGACTTTCCCTCTCGCGAGAGCAGAGGAGGTGCGCTTGAGGCGTGTCAGCCAAGAGCCGTGCAGGGCCTGGCTGCACTTTTCTGCAGACGAAAGCAGGTGTGAACCGGCATCCGCGTTTGCGTCCGGTCTCCTGGTGCAGCTGTCGCTCTCGGTATCGCAAGCCCAAGATTGGAGTCACCTCCCCAGAAGGCGAGATGCTCCTCAGAGCCTTGGATGCCCGTTGGGCCTTGGCAGGGGTGCTCTCCCACCAGTTGGCCTCCATTTTTGAGGCCCCCTGGAAAACGGGAGAACTTCTGGAGGATTGGAGGGTGGCATTGGTGGTCCCAAAAAGGGTAGCAGTGGGATTATGCAGAATGCCGGGCCAGTCAGCCTTATGTCCACTCTGGGAAGGAGGATGGAAAGGCTCATAATGGAGAGAGATCTAGTGATGCTAGATAGGGAAGGGAGGCTGGCAGCCACACAGCACAGCTTCCACAAAAACAGGTCCCGCCAGGCAAACCCTGTGGGATTCTACGACAAGGTTTCGAGGTGGCTAGAGGGCGGGGATGCAGTGGATGATGGTTTACCTGGATTTCAGCAAGGCCTTTGACCAAGTGCCCCATGTGTCACCTTCACGACCTGATCTGGACAGGTTGTGGAAGTGGGCGGGGGACACCAGGACGGCACGTGGTGCGGGTGAGAGCAGGGTCTTGCACTTGGGACACAGGGCGAAGTGCCGCAGGTACAGAGTGGGGGGCAGGTGGCTGGAGAGCACATTTGTGAAGGGGATTTTGGGGTGCTGAAGTGAGCCGGCCGTGTGATGTGGCGGTTGAGGAGGCAAAGAGCGCCCTGGGATGTTTAGCCAGAAGCGTGGCTTCCAGATCTAGGGAGCTGTTGTTGCCGCTCTACACAACTCTGGTGTGCTCACAGTTGGGGTAGTGCATCCAGTGCTGGGCTCCCCGTCGTGGGAGAGACGCAGCCAGGTCGGGGTCGGCCCAGCGCAGGGCACAGGAATGGGAGCCGGGCTGGGAGGGCTGGCCTGGGAGGAGAGTGGGGGGAGCGGGGTCTCTCCAGCTGGAGGAGGGGAGACCCCAAGGGGGCCTGTTAGCGGCTTCTGGGGGTGCGAGGGGGTGTCCTGTGGGGCAGGGCCCCGAGCTGTTCTCCCCTGCAGCGGAGGGCCGGACGCGCTCCAGTGGGGCAAAGCTCGAGGAACCGGGCTGCAGCTTGGATGCCAGGAAGGACTTGCTGGCGGATGGGGCCCCGAGGGTGTGGAACGGGCTTCCTCGGGAGGTGGCTGAGGCCCCATTGGTGCGGGTATTCGAGGAAAGATTGGGCACCCACATGAGCAGAGCTGGCGGAGGTCAGACTAGATGGGCCAGGAGACCCCTTCTGACTCACTTTTTAAATGTTTCTATGAGTTTGGGGGGAAAGAGGAACCAAAGCGGGACAGATCCCCACACCAAAGGCTGCCTTTACTGAGCTAGTCAAAAGAAATGTACTCGCATGAAGGAGAGCGGAAGGCGTGCAAAGCACTGTTGCTCGTCTCCATACGCGGGTGGCCCTTTCCGTATGCTTGCGGGTGAAGGGCAGGGTAGAAGTTTTCGGGGGAACCGCTCAAGCCTCGGGCATTTCAGCAAAGTGTTGCTTGCGGCTCCGCTCCGCTTTAGGCCCCGATCAGCTCGGACACTTCGCTGCCGGCTCTTGCCGGGGAGGATGAGTGTGCGGAGCTGAGGCGGGCAGGGTTTTCCCGAAGGTGCGAAAGGCCCCGGCCCACAGGGCCCGGCTCCGGCTCACGTCAGCGCGAGCCCGGCCTCCGCACTGGAAGCGGAGACCCCTCCTTTCCCGGCCAGGACGCTCTTGTGCCTGCCCCTGCCAGCTGGGCTCAGCCTCCGCACGGCGGGAGCTGCTCTTCTGCGTCCCACAGCTGCCAAGGCGGCTCCAGCGCAGGTTGGACTTGGCCACTCTCACAAGCCAGCCCATGGACTGTACTGCGGGGGGGGCGCTCAGGCACATGGGCCCCCGACACTTTGGGAAGCAGAGAAGCCAGAGCGGGAGCGCCCGGCGCAGTGCCCTCGTGTGAGCCAGGCGGAGCCAGGGCTGCGACCGCGGGTCATTGAGCCGGGGGCCCGCGTGGGGACGCCCGCTCAGCGCTCGGGCAGGACACGGGGCTCCCGAGTGCCCCCCTCGGCCCCCCGCCCCCTCTTGCGGAAGTGGCGCTGCAGATGCTCAGGCAGATGCCGGGGGGCTGGCGGGGGGTGGAAGGCGGCGGAAGGACGGCTCCCCCGGCCCGAAGGCCCTCCCCGCACGCCCGTTTCCTCCACGCGCCGGGTTTCGAGTTGCCCTCCCTGCGGCACTGCACCCGCCCCCCCCGCCACCCGCACGTCGCCCGCCGGCCGCCCCGTCCCGCCGCTTGTCCTCACGGCTGCTTGTCTGCTTCTTTTGCTCCGTCATTCCTAGGTGGCAGCCCAGCCTGGTCCCCTCCGAGCGGCTCCGCGATGAGCACGTCCTGATCGCGGCCTACGTGAGCCGGCTGCAGAGCGGCGCACGGTCAGTTCGAGGAGAGCGGCCGGGAGGGGCGCCCTCTTCCCTTCGCTCCCACGGCGCGAGCCCAGCCGCAACGTGGGGAAGGAAAGGCGGCTCTCGGGGGCTTGGGGGCACTCTCGCTGCCCACAGAGGGACGGCTCCCTTTCCAGCGGCAGTGTAGTGGGGCCCCGGGGAAACGTGCACCTGCCTTCCCGTGCCCCCCAACACCTCCCTGGTCCCTGGCTCAAGCACCCCTCCCGGGAGCAGGCACCGGGTGCCCCCCCCCCCCCCCCCCCCCCCCCCCCCCCCCCTCCCTGCCCCAAGCCCCCCCCCCGGGGGCAGGCACCGGGTGCCCCCCCCCCCCCCCCCCGCTTGGAGAAGCCTTTCGTGCCCCTTCTCAGTCACTCCTCACTTCGGCGCCTGGTCCCGCCACTCGCCAGTCCTGGCCTGATGTGGCTACGCTGTGCAGCAGTTCAGATTCAGCAGGGAAACTTGCGGAGGTGGCAGCGGCGGCGGCGGCTCCTCCTCGGAACTGCAGGATCTGCTCCCGAGGGCTCCTTTGAGCATGCTCTGCTCTGCTCGGCGTGTTCTCGGCTGCTGCCTTCCCAGGGCAGCTCGTGCCAGATCAGCACCCCATGGCTCCCAGGGCGAGCACGAGGCCTCGGAGCCCCGGCAGCCCCCCCCCCACGCAGAATGGCAGCTTGCATGCCCACGGGCAGCACCTGGTGGAGGGGAAGCAGTTCCTTGAGCAAGGAGGAGACGGGCTTGATGCCCCCCCCCCTCGCCCGAGGCCACGCTGTGCAAACGGCCTCTTGGCTGCTCTGCATCTTTGGGGGGGGGGACTGTTTCTGGGGAGGGCCCCGTTTAGCCGGCAGCACGTGAGTCCCTGGGCAGACCGGGCTCCTTTCAGATTCTTCTCTCGGCCTGGGGGGCAGCTGGGTTGTTTTCAATGGCAGAGCCCCCCCCCCCAGGCGGTTTTGCGCACAGTGGCCCCCCTCGTGGTGAATCTGCGGTGGCCACATGAGCACTGGGGGCCACAAGGAGCCCCACAGGCGACCGGCGCATTGTGGCTGCCCCCCCACATCCCTCCCAGGCGGCGCCTCGCAGGACAGCGGGGCCACGGCGAGGCTGCTCTGTGGCCGCCACAGCCGTGAGCCATGGTTTTGATCAATTGATCGATCGATTGATTTATACCCAGCCTTTTTCCTACCAAGGGCTCAAGGCAGCTGACATCCTCCTCCTCCTCCCCCTTATCCCCACAACAACCGCCCAGTGAGGTAGCTTGGGCTGAGAGCCTGTGACTGGCCCAGAGTCACCCAGCTGGCCCCATGGCCGAGCGGGGACTCGAACCCGGATCGCCTGAGTCCCAGTCCCACGATCTGCACCACCCGCCACCCTGGCTCTCACTGCACCGCTGCCCAGGTGGGGCACGTGCCCTGGAATGAGGCAGGGGATGTGTGAGCTGACCTGGCGCTGCCTCCTACTCCAGAGGAGACCTCTGGAGCAGGACACGCCGGAGCCGGACTGCTCTCGGGCACAAGGGCGGCAGCTCCCGAGGGGCAGCGCCTCGCCAAGGCCCCCCCACCGCCAGAGGCTTTATCTGGGAGAGGAGCGCCGGAGGGGTCTGGACCAGGCGGCCGTGCTCCCTCCCCCCTTTTGCTGGGGAAAAAGCTGCTCCAGCAGCGGGGGGCTTGGGGTGGGCTGGGACGCACTGAGCGGAGAGCCCCCTGCCAGCCGGGCCTCCCCCCCCTGGAGCGAGCTGGGCTGGCAGGCCGCTCCTGGTCCCGCCGGGGAGCGGCCCCCTTGGGCGCAGGCCAGGGACCGAGAGCTGGCCTCTGCCCGTCTCCTCTGGGCTCACGTGCCCCCGGGACGTCCCGCGGGGGGCTGTGTCGTCCGCGTTGGACGGCACAGAGGTGGTCGTGGTGGGGAAAACCAGAGGACGGGCTGCGGCTGCTCCCCGTGGGCCCCAGGCCCCAGAAGTCACGGGGGGGGAGCAGCAGGGGAGGCCGCTGGCTGCGTCACCAGGCGCTGCTCTGGCCAGGGAGACGTCCGGCTCGGCTCCGGCGCTGCTCCCAGCGGAAGCCCTTCCTGCGACGGCTGTTAAACTCCCCTCAAAATGCACCAGACGCCGCAATCCCCGCTCTTCAGTCGGGTTCCACCTTTGAAGCCATTGCTCTTTCTGAGCGCTTGGAGGTTCACTCTGGCCGAAGGGGATGCCCGGCCCGGGGCCCTGGAGGCAGGCATGCCCTGTCTGCAGAGGGCCAAGCGGGGGCACTGGCCTCGGGGCCCCTCCGCCTGCATCAACTCAGCTCGGAGCTGCGTGGCTTCCCGGTTCTCGACCATGCAGAGAAATGCCCTTTTCTTTGCAGGAAATGCCCTTTTTTCCTTAATGGATTTTCTGCAGTAAGGAAACATAGAAACAGAGAGTCAGAAGGGGCCTCCCGGGCTATCTAGTCTGACCCTGGCTCCAGCCGGCCCCGCTTACGACATGCCCACCATGTGCACGTCCAGCCTGTCCTTGAACCCCTGCACCGAGGGGGCCTCAGCCACCTCCCTGGAAGCCCATTCCAGGCCCTGGGGGTCCCAAGTGTCAGAAGGAGACGGGTGGAGTGGTGGGAAACGGGGAGGCCCGTGTGTGGGCGGGGGCCTTGTCTGGGGCCCGGGCGGTGGCACGGCCGGAGGAGGCCCCTGGAAGGAGAAGCTCCCTCTCCTGGGCCTTCCCCGCAGCGCCTCCATCTTTTGAGAGCCTTTTTGGGATGAACAGAGCAGCCGCCCGTCCCTGGCAGGCCCCGGCTCCGCTCACGAGGAGCTTGGCCCGGGCTCTTCTTGCCCGGCGCTGCCCTCACTTGGCATCTTGATTTTTGAAACTGATCTTCTATTTTGCACAAAAACCTTTGCAATTACCGCACGACAAGGACCCATGGACGCCTAGGACGGTTGAAGGAAATCGCGCGCTAGCACATGCGTGGCTCCTTTCCAGAAGCGCTGCTGTGGCGTGTCAGGATGGGTGCCCCGAGGCTGTGCTGCACCGGCTGCGGTGCCTGGAGGCACGGGGGCCGCACACTCACGGGGCTCAGCCAGCCCTGCCCAGGCCGGGGGGCAGCGGGGCCGGGGCTGCCCGGAGTGGCTGGCACGGCCTGGGCCGATGCGGCAGGCGTGAGCCGAGGGCCTCCCCGTTCCAGGCGGGCCTGGTCCCGAGCCGCCCGGCAAGCGCTGCGCGTCGTGACTGGCCCGTCGGCTTCCTTCCCTCCCGCAGCGTCCTGGACAGCCCCAGCCGACTGGACGAGGAGCACCGCCTGATCGCCCGGTACGCTGCCCGGTTGGCCGCCGAGGCTGGAAATGCGGTAAGCGGCTCGAGGTCTTCTCCCCCTCTCTGGCCACCGGCCCGCTAGCATCTCCTCGGCGCCCTGGACGAGAGGGCCGCTTCGGGCCCCGGCCCTCCCATGGCGAGGCTGCTGGGTCGGCCGGGAAGCCCAGAGCCCGCTCCCTGCAGCACGTGGTCAGTGGCATGTGCCCGGGGCAGGTTGCCACACCTTGGCTGGCTGGCCGGCCTGTGTGAGGCTGTGGTGCGCACCGGGGACAGGGCTGGCCCCCAGAGGGGCTTCGCTGCACAGCGAGACGAGCGGGAACCAGCCGCGCAGGCCGCTGGGCCCAGTGGCAGCCCGTGGACTCAGCCCCCCTGGGCCCCTCCCGCCTGGCCCTCCACGGGCAGGACAGGTGCCATCTCGTGGGCCGGCAGTGCTGGGGCTGCCCCCCACACCGCAGTTCCCAGCGCCCGGGGTGCGTGGGCATGCTGCCTCTGGCTGGAAGCGAGGGGGGGAGGGGACCCTTCCGGAATGTCGGCTGCAGCCGGCCGGAAGCGTGCCCTCTGCCCCCCCCTCCCCCGTTCTTCTCCGTGGGGCTGCTGAAAAACGGACTGGCAGTGGGTCATCCGCGGCATCACCGCCTTGACATTACGCAGTGGGCAGGCGGAGGGAGGCTGCGAGGACCTCTCCCAGCCGTGCCCCCGATGCTCGCACAGCCTCGAGGTGGAGGGGGGCGGAGAGCACTCTCACCTGGGGTTTTGTCGCTACTAAATCATGGTGCGCCAGTGTGCGAGCTGGTGATGCGCCCGGGATGCCCAGCTGGAGGGAAGCTGCACTGGTGCTCCGGCTGCAGAGAGACTTGCGTGGCGGAAGCGCCTCTCGCTGCTCCGCTTCTGTGGGGGGGGGGCCTCTCTCTTGCCCCAAAGGCAGAATCGGCCTGCTGCTTACCATTAGCAGGAAAGAAACTTGGGGGAGAGAGTCTGCTCTGTCAGATGCATCCGCAGTCCTGTCGACGCTCACGAGGGGCGGCCAGGACACGCTCCGTGCGGAGGTGGCGGAAGTGCATGTGCCAGGCCGGGAAATGGGTCCCCTGCAGCCGTTTGGAGCTTCAGGTGGGGTTGCGGTGCAGCGCACCTGCGGGGGGAGCCTTCCACCTGCCCTGCCCGCACAAGCAAGGCCTCCCCCAACTTGCAGGCCCCCTCAGTGGGGGACGTGGCCACCCGTCCAGCCCCGCGGCCGTGAATCAGCTCAGGGATCCGAGCGGGGCCTGGCTTGCCCCGACGGCCCTTCCAGCCCCCGTTCTGGGATCCCTCCTCTTCCCATCCTGACCGCTGCTTTCAAACATCTGATGACTGAAATCTGGTTACGTCCAGCGGGGTTCTAATAAAGTGAGCTCCGGCTAATGAAAACCTGTGGCACAATTATGAGGCGCCACAGGGTTCCTTGTCATTTTGAGCAAGATGTTGAGCCAGAAAGAATCCAGATGGGGAAGGGATTCGTGTCCCAGAGGAATCGGCCTCAAACCAGATCGTAGCATGAAAAATGCCGGAGAAGCCATCTCAGCAGGCATCTTGTCCTTGCGTGAATTCACACCGTTCGAAGCATCCCCAAAGTGCAACAGTCTCTCCTCGGATTAGCAGGGGGTGGGGGCAGCAGTCAGTTCCCACCCGGTGAACCTTTCCAGTTCTCTTGAGCACTGGAGACGAGCTGAGAATAAATCGGGGTGGAGCTGCTGGAGGGCCTCCATCTCCCGGCCCTCGAGGCTTCGCAGTCCTCTGGCCAGGCTGCCCCACGGAAGCCGCCCTCCCGAGCCTGGCCGAACAGATAGCGGCCGAGTGCTGCAGCCCCTCGGAGGCAGAGGTTGGGGGGGCGCCCCTCACTTCCCCCTTTACAAAGACTTGGAGTGGCAGCAGGGAGCACCTGAACGGTCACTGAACACCTGCAGCTTCAGACCAAAAAAGCGACCATCAGAGCCAGAGAAGTCAGCTGGGGTGGCGCAGGGTGAGGGTGGCCGGGGAACCCCTTTCTTTCTCTCTGGGCAGCCTTCGCCCGGGAGCCAGGTGGACTGGGGGCAGTTTCGGAAAGGAACGGCGCTTCCACATGGAGGGCTCCAAGCGCCCCAGGCAGAAATCCTTGGCTCGAAGAAGCAGTACGGAAATCTAGGAGGGCCGAGACAGGACCCCCGAAATGTGTGCCGGTGGCGACGCACATCAGTGCGCTGTGTCGGTGCAGTCTGTGCAGCTCTTGGGCCAGTGGCCAAGATCCTGCTGCGACGTCGCGAGAGCTGCCCCCTCGCCGGCTTTCCACCAAGGGCTTCGCCGGCCCCTCGGGCACCCACGGCCAGCCCGAGACCCCCCAGCCACAGCGCTGGCTGCGAGCCAAGCAGTGTTCCGAGTGGGAGGTGGTGGCGGGGGCTGCTCCAGGCGCCCTGCAGCAGCGTGGAATGAGTGCGCGGTGGATCGGGACCTCAAAGCGCCCAGAAAGCCCTGCTGTGGCAGACCAAGGGTCCATCCAGCCTGGTGCCCCTTCGGTCAAAGCAGCCCCCTCAGATGGCTGCCCCGCTGCCCTTGACGGCCTCCGGTGCCGGCGGGGGGGGGGGGGCAGCACCCCGACCGCTCGGGTGGCCAGGCAGCTCTTCCGGGTGTCCAGCCGGAGCCTGCGCCCGCGACTTGCGTGCTCCCGGGACCCGGTGTGCGCGGGCGGCTGCCCCTGCCGGCGGGCGAGGGCCCGGCACGCACCTGGCCGGAGGCGGTCCGGCAAGGGCACGGAACGGGAACGGGGCCGGGCCCGCCGGGGCCCCCCCC